AGAACTCGTTGGTTACAACATACAACCAGTGACAAGTAAACAGTGCTCCATTTTAAGGGGTCACACGTCAAAAAGGTTGGGAACCACTGATATAGAGGCTTCTGGGGACAATGCTGAGAGTGTTTGAAAGCGAACTGACAAAAGGAAAAGTACATTAGCCCAGAAATGCAAAGTACAATTATTTTTCTTTTTTATTCACTGTCTCACGCTGGAATTTGAGAGCTTCTGTTTTATGGGGACCTTTTTTACTTGCAGCGTGTTTATGTATGTTTATTTTCAACCCTCAAATTTTAAAAAGGTGTACACTGGAATTGTAGCACTTTCAGCTGGAGTGCATCTTACGGCTCCTTTGGACGTCTCTGTGATTGCAAGTCATGAGTGACTATGACCGTAAGACTAGAAGACATTTCCAGTAGTGTGCGAAAACAGATTAAGGAGACTTATGGTCAACAAAAAACCTTACAGTTCTGGAGCGTCAGTGGTTCACGCTCTGGTCAACGGCAGTATAAGCACATTTTCTTTGCTCATGTTCTCTCATGTCTGGGTTTAAGACCTGACAGCAGAAGGGAGTCACAATTACACACACACACACACACCACAACACACCACACACACACCAAACTATTACTAGTTACTAGAGTGGTTTCCATGACAACTAGAGCAGGGAGGGTGAGAGAGAAAAAGAGACAGAGAAAGACAGAGAGAGAGAATTCCACCCCCTTCAACTCAGAACATTGAGTCAGATCTGAGAATGATGTATTATCAAGCGCAAGAGACGAAGAAATAAAGGAGAGGGCAGAGGGAGGGGAGTGGTAATGTGAAGCGTAGTACAAGAGGAGAAAACAAAAGGATTGAAGTCAATGAGAGAAAAGACAGCAGAGACACAGTGATCCGTTGCAGAGACGGGGCCGAAACTGGAGAGCAGAGACAAAGAGCCAGAAAGAGGTAAAGACCAAAAGATGGGCCGACGGGAAGAAAAACAAATATCAACTAGGTGGGAAATTCGAGATTTGAAAGAGATTTGAGATTTGGAAGTCCATAAAGGTGCTTTTATACAGCGTTTTAAAACATCAATTTGTTTGAAAATGGATCCACATGACACTTCTTAAGCATGGAGACATTACAGTGCATCACTTCCAGACTCAACGTTCAACTGGCACCTTTACAGACAGGTTTTAACAGAGAGAGAAAAAAAGCCCCTTCTGTGCCCTGGTATTCTGCTATGGTGTAAATATAACACTCTGAGAAAGATTCTGGTTTCTGCAAGTTTTTTGATTATTTGGCTTTTAAAGCAACACAATTTCTAAAGGGAATGTTCATTATGCTGAAACCCTTAAAGCACATGTTAGAGGATCTCAAAAAGATTTTAAAAATTAGAAAAGCAGAAAGAGTTTTGTTAAACTTACCAGTGAGGCGGATTTTATAGTGGCAAAGCGGCCTTGGTTCTTGTAGTTTTGGGCCTGACTGCTCTTATCAGAGGAGGCCGGCCTCAGCCCTGCCCGAGGGTCCCTGTGGATCCCATCGTCCCAGGTGTACTGATGATCCTGTGTGTAATACACACAAACAGACAGCATGGAGAAATGTAAACAGAGTACAAGTCATTGATTTAGTCACAGAGTTGACTTCTTGGCACTCAAGTGAACAAGGTGTTAAAATGAAGGTGAAAAGGGCGCTGTGCTGCAGGACACTGGACGGATTTTAATTCCCTAAAACTGCCAGTGTTTAAACATCTTTCTTTGAATTTTTAAATGATAAAATTCCCCACTGATTTAAGGCATACAACATCCAAATTTCAAAAGGAATCTTCATTAATGCTAAAACTGTGTCAACTGTAACCTTGCAAAATGATGAAATGTCAACACTCAATCCCCTCCCCATTAGAAACTGACTGAACATTTTCAGGAGTCCAGGGACCAAAGAGTTGACTCATGTGAAGAGGGAACTTCATCAGCATCTGAAAACAGTGTGTCACTTTCATTTGTTCTCAGCTCAGCCCCTGAACTTAAAAAAACACATTGGCGGTCTATTCATAAAGTGACATCCTTATTCATGCACTGTCAAAATACAAAGAACAGATGAAGAAAGAGAATGACAGAGCACTGACAGCCCTCTCTTCACAGATTTTAAGTCATATGAGATATTCAGTGAGAATGTCAGGCATTGTGTTGACCTGTGTCTACTGTGTATGTGCCTGTGTGCAGGAGAGACAGAGCTGTAAGTTTAAAAAAAAAAAAAATTGGTGGGGAGTGTTTGCCGCTTGTTGACATGTGTACACAGCCTTTGTTCTCAGAGTGTGAACGGTGTTGGTGATGAACTTGAAGTGATCTGCCAAACAGTGAGGACTGTGTCGATGGTTTCCATGGTTTCAAGGGAGGGGAGGGGCATGCAGTTACTCATTACTACACTTGAAAACAGTAAGAGAAAAACAGAGGGTGTTTGCATGGAGCCATATGTGATTGTACTAGTAACATAGCATTTGGTGATTATGTGTGCAGTCTTGGATTTCTAAGAATCTTAGAACATACATGTACATGGCAATTTGGAAAAAGTGTTTACTACTGTGAGAGTACGACTAGTGATCAATAATAGGATTGAAAGGTTAAAAGTTTTTCTAGTCTAATTAGGTTTTAGCTTCACCGAGGAGGATTTACTTTAGCTGGTGTTTATTTGTTTGTCTCTGTATTAGGACGACATCTCAAAAACCTGAATGGAAATCAAAGGATTTTGGTGGACACACAGGCCCTTGTGTGCATGTCCAACAGGTGGATGGGTTTTGACAGCCTCCCAGCATGAACTAAATACTCCATTTATAATGCAGGACTTTACATGTATGGAATCATCATGAGTGATGACTCTGTGCTGTGCCTAAGCGTTCATCCTGATTGTTAAATCACTACATGTCTTAACACATAGCTTTCATAGCTAGTTAAGACAAGTCTTTGTGTTTGGCTGAAATAATGTCATGTCTTCTTAGAAAAGATGCCTAAAAAATGTCAACTTTAATATTGGTAATAGTGTTAACTTATGTCAAGTTTAAAATACATTTAGATGAACACATTGAGAAGAGGTAGTGTCAATGAAGAGGATCTCATCAAACAAACGATTTTGGGAACCACTGAGAACTGCAGCTCACACTGTTTTCTAGTTTCCAGCTCTGGTTTGATGTGACTGTTAATGACTCACCACCTCCCTCCCACCATCCAAACTTCACCCTTGAACTTTACCTTCTTGGTGTGCGGGGAGGATTCCAGGGTGCTGCTGTAGTCCTGGGGGTGCATCATGGTCATGTCGGAGCAGCTGTCGTCCACCTCCTGCATGCTGTTCACGCTGCTGCTCTGGCTGCCCGTGCTGACTGAGGTGCTGGGGATGGAGTGGTTGCTGCCCAGGCTGTTCATCTTACAGCTGGCCGCCTCGCTGTCCTGCAAGTGATCATCCACACACGTATAATTATAAACAAATGCTTCCACAAATGAAACGTCAAACAGTGAAATTATACACAGATGGAAATACAATATACAATATACACAGGCCTCTCCAACAGTCACCTCAATACAGAGAAAATAACTAATGACCTCTAGATTGTATTAGAGTAAAAGTAATGCTAAATTGCCTATTAACCTCAAATTGTTGACATGTTTATGAGATGTCTTTAGATTAGACAACCATATCGTGTGTGTACATGATAAAAAGAATCAATTTGCATAGCTTTTAAGGGCAGCGGACAACTCTGCAGTAACAGGCTACATTAGGATGTTAAAATCAGCCTCTGTATCTTCCCCTGAAACCACAAAACGAGGTTTAGGACTGCAACTTTTCTAAGTAAAGCCTTCAGCAGCATCTTGTTGCAGCAAGGTCTGGTGGCTGCTCTGCTTCACGTGGTGTAGGATGACAGTACTATGGTTGGTGGCGATCCGTGCCTGTTCATGCAGCCTCAGGCCAGGTCAGCTAAGGGACATTTCATCTCAATGTCAGGCTGCCGTGGCTGCAGGAGGAAAAGCTCCTGTGCCATGAGCTTTATTTCTGTGTTCTATCCAACATTATTAGAAGTGAAAAAACAGCAGTTAAGAAGGCCGCTTTGGACAAAAGTACAGTATCTGGTTGCTCCATCTTTGAGTGCCTTCTTGGGGTTTCATTAACATCACCCCCGACAAACTATTCTGTCACCCTTTGTACTGTGAATCTGAGTTCCAAAAGTCCCTCACTACCGTACAATGTAAGTGCTAAATTACAATAAGAAATTGATACACTGCAGTAGAGTTGAAAAGATAAGTTGATTAATTATCATTAATTATCAACATTTTTCAAGCAAAAATGTAAAAGATTTACTGATTTTTTTTCTGTTTAATAACACTATAAACTGAATATATTTGGGGTTGGGACAGTTGGAACTGAGAAAGATATTTGAAAAAGTCAGCTTGAGTTCCACAAAATTGTGATGGGCATTTGTCAATATCTTCATTAATCGATTATTAGAAAATAATCATTTAGAAAATAATGTGCAGATTAATTGATAATAAAAATGATCATTAGTTGCAGCCCTACATTGCTTCATGTAGCATGTGCATGCCTAGTTATTTTTCATTTCTATCAACTATTGTCTCAGCTGGCTCGATTAATATTTCTGCTGCTGTTCCCTGTTAGGCACACTCTGTGGACTTCTACAAACTCTGTGATAGCAAAATGGAATTGAATGTCGTTTTCCACAAAACTCATAAACAAATAAAACACTGATAACAGACTTTTCTTTGAGGTGCAAGTTATAGAACTGTGAACAGAACAGAAGGTCAACTGGTTTTATGTTTTCAACCCCTTGTTCTCCACTTGCCTCCTTTGATTGTTACTCTTGACAAACTTTGTAATTTCTATATTATTTCTTTTTGCACTGAGATTCTGTCCAATCAACTCCCCCTTATATTTTACATGAAACTTTCCCTCCTCCCTTTCCCACCTCCTCCTCCTCCTGGCTCTCTCCCATGGGCCCGTTGTGTTTCTCCTGGTAGAGGATCTTCTTCATCTTGCGGTACTGCAGATTGTCCAGCTCACGCACCGCATCCTTGGTCCTCTGGATGAGGTCGATGAGAATGCGCGGCGAGCGTTCCCGACGCACAAAATCATGCTGGACACAGAAGAAGAGGGAGAATGTGAGATTAGTTGGTTCTAAAAGATAGAAGAGGGGACAATTGGTTTAGAAATATTTAATCAAATTTATGTCTTAACTTCGGCTTTCATAACATACAATTCATGGATGTTAAATTGTTATTTGTGGTAATGCGGATGCCTTTTTTTGTCAAAATAGCAGAATATCAAGTTTTCACCTGAAAATATTTGTTACAGAATACAATTTAAAGTATTAATGGCAAACAAACATTTATTTAGGAAATGAAGTCAAACAAAAAAGTGGTACTGGTAAATTGTATTTAAAGGACATCTACTTATACACTTCTAGTGTATTATTTCAATGAGCACCTCAATTGTAACCATCACTAGAGGGCGCCTGTAGGTTGCTCAGCTCATCTTGGGAGTCCCAGCACTCACTACATCCTCTAGTACACTTAACACATGGGATCTGTGCAAGATTGTGCATTAAATTGATTTTCATAAATACTCCTAATCCTTTTCATTCCAATAAAAAGCAAAACTGTATTTGTCTTGGCAACAAGTTAATGACAGTTTCTACTAATCTATATCAAGAAACAAAAACAACCATTGAGTAATATGTTGATAAAGGAGGTTTTAGCTTTGTAATCTGGATTTTTTTTGTATACACACTGGATATGAGCAACCTACAGTTTCTTACCAAAAGAAAGCCAATCTCTACAACATTAAATTACACATAAAGTCAAATTTATTTTTATAAAAATATGATTATTTATGAATATTTTCTAAGTTTTACACTAAACTGACAGCTGAATCTCATTTAGAGCACATGTATAAACTGTGGCCCCTTCTGCTGTGCGCAACCAACATTTCTGTAATTTGGTGGAGGTTGGGATAATATGGATTTATTTAATTTATTTTGTGTTACATAATCCGCAGGTCATAGTGGGTGGGTATGGCTGGTGGGAGTAGACTTAGAATGAGTTGATGAAGATGAATGCGGTTGTGTTTTTATTTATTTTTTTAATGTAAGTATGTTTTGGCAATTAATTGCACTGAAATTGAGATGAAAATAAAAATAAAGCAAAAATACATCTTCTCTCCTCTGCGCTTCCACCCACTTATTCACCCACCACACACTCATATTCACACCTCCTCTCAGTCACTCTCATTCATAAAATATGCGCTTATATTGCTGAAATGTATGCAACCTCAGAGTACAGGACTAAAATATATATACTGTATTGAAGAAAAAACTACTTTATTTTTAGGTCTATTTCCAGCTCTCTTTCTCCACACTTCCTCTCCATGTGACAGATGCTGGTGTAATGGGTTAGTCAGGACACAGGGGAGTGACATCATGCTCTCAAAATAGAGATGAGAGTGATTTGTCCCGTTTTCTGACGGACCTCCACCAGAATGTGGGTGGTTGGCCGCCCCCGTCCCATCGACCAGCGACAAATGATCTCCATGATTCTTCCTCATTATAAGGTTAGTGTTAAGAAGAAGCGACAGCAGTTTTACAGCAGCTTCAGTCCCTTGCCTGCATGTAAACTGTAGTCAGTAGTACTAATCCATCCTCAGAGATTTACTCTGTTAGGTATAATCAATTTGTGATGTTAAATGCATTTAATAGCATATTATTATGAACTTTATGGTATACCCACTTTGCTTCAGTCCATCTCAATTACGTCTACTGCAATTATAATAGCAGCAGTGACGATCCCTGGAGAGCAAGACTAATACGCTCGATGTATTAAAAGGAACGCTTTGGGAAATACACTCAACTCTCTTTTTGAGTTAGATGAGAAGATTGACACAACGCTTATATTTGTTCAGTAAATATATAGCTGGACCCAGCATTCAGTTAGCTTAGCTTAGCATAAAGACTGGAAACAAGGAGAAACCACTAGCCTGGCTCTGTCCTAAGATAACAAACTCCACCAACCAGAACTTCTAAAGCTCACTAATTAACACATTATCTGTTTTTGTTTAATTTGTATAAAAAGTAAAGTGTAAAAAATGACATTTGCTGTTTTACAAATGATTTTTTCACTAGCTGTTTCCAGTCTTTGTGCTAAACTAAAATAAGCTGAGCGGTTTCCGGGGAAACAAGCTACATATTTACTGTACAGATAGCGTAAATCCTCTCATCTGACTCTCGGCAAGAAAGCAAAAAATTAAATCGCCAACAATTTTGATAATGGATTAAATGCTTTAGTCTTTTATCAAGGAAAAATGCCAAACATTCAATGGTTCCAGCTTTCAAAATGTGAGAATTTGCTGCTTTCCTGTTTTATATCATTGTATGGTGAATTATCTTTTGGTTTGGACAGTTGGTCGGGCAAAAAAATCAAAATGAACGCATCCTTTTGTGCCCTGGGAAACTGCTGTTGTATCTGAAATATACGCTGAAATATCTTTCATTTTCTAGTTAATTCATGGGATTACATAGACATACACCAACAACACCCACAACTATGTTTTACTGTTTAAGAGTGTATTTTTTTGCTTAAACAGTGAGTGCTTATGGGAGGAGGTCACTGAAAGGTTATTATTTCATTATGTATATAATTACAATTACTCTGAATGTGGTACACAGGAAGAGTGTTTTTAACCTGAAGCCAGAACACTGATAGCTCAAGGCCCCCAGATTAGTGACCTGATTTCCCCTTTAAAGAGCTTGGAGGGGCGTGTGTATACATGTGTGTGTGTGTGTGTGCACTGAGAGAAAGTGTGTGTGTGAGTGTCTGAGAAGAGAAAGTGGGGTATTAATCATAAGCTAACACCCCACCCCCCAAGCCCTTCACTATAAAGCAGCCCCTTCGACACTGATCCAAAGTCTGTTTGGTACTTATCCCTCTTTAATGGTTTTTCGGCCAGGATTTGGGTCAGGGGTGTTGGGAAGAGTGAATTCCAGTTTATATGCCGATCCTATCCAGATGACAGAGCCTCCTCATTTAACTGCTACCTAACCTCCCATCCTTCCCTTCATCCACCCCACAGTGAGGCAGGTGTGAAACCTCCTGCTCGTGCTCCCACACTGTTGAGCATGATCACCAAGAACATAAAACTCTTAGTGGGTGAATAGGATTACCTGTTAGTCACACAAACAAAAAGATCAACTCCTAAATTACAGGGAAACACAACGAACATACACAGCCTTGTAAGTTCATTGCTTTTGTAGGGCATTTTTCGCCTTTTATTTGACGGATGACAGTGGAGAGTGACAGGAGGAGAGGGAGGGAAGGTGCCATGTGACGACGTCATCTAAATTTAATTTAGCATTAAGGTTCATTACTGACCTTAGAAATACAAGTTTGACAAAATATTACTTTTAATTACTTTTTTTCCAAAACTTTCGAAAAGGTTAAACTAGGTGGACCGTGTGATAAGAATTATTTGTAAAAATGGGTTGTATAAAAAGTTAAGTTGGTCTAGGGTTTACTGCACCAACCATGAACCCTAACATCCCAGTTTCATGGCCAGCAAGTGACTTCAGTTGGATGTCCTTCACCATCTCTCTCTTCACTAATTTCTTGTCATCTCTCTACAGTCTATCAATAAAGGCATAAAATGCCCCCCAAAAAACTCATAATTGAATAATATTATGAGGGAAATCCCTGAATGCTTCTTATTTTTGCCAGTTTTCTGGCATACAAAAAACAAAAGGAAAAAGAAAAACACTGAATAATTGCATATATAACGAGCAGAATCAGCATTTAAAACCCCATACCAGTTGGAACATAATCAAAGGACTGATGTGAAAGCAGAAAATACACACAGTCCTATAGAGTCCTTAAGGACCATGGCTACAAGGCGAGGCACAGGAAGTAGAGTTAAAACAAAGAAAAAAAGAGGAAGCATAAGCCCTTCTCAGTGGGGTACTTGATTTCTGTGCTTGAAGAAGACACTATGTACAGTATATGCTTGCGTATTAGGGAGTCGTGGGTGGGTGGGAATGACTCATCCGCATGGCTCAGGGACTGACTGAGACAGGAAGTGAGGTCACAAGCTGGAGGGATTACAGAGGAAGCCCACTCACTCGTAGCAGCTCCCCTGATGAGGGTCTGTCCTGAGGAATTTTCAGTAGGCAGTAGTCGACAAAGCTCCGGAAGGGGTCAGACCTGGGTAAAGAGGACAGTGAGATGGAGGTCTATGATTCCCTTTCTCATGTAAAACATATTTAAAAAAAGGATAATTTAAGCAGAAATAGAAGTGACAAAATACAATGATGAGGCTGCCTTCAGCATACCTACTGTATTTAGTGTCAATGAATGTTTAACGTGATGAGTAATCTTCTTCTGTTGTGCTGTGTTTATCATATCAATGAATTAAACGAGAGCAAGCCTATGTAATCTCTTATATGAGATGTAAACCCTATATGAACCATATATGGATTATGTAAATATGTGGAGCAATAAAAATATAGGCCACTGGAGCTGTGGAACACCGTGATCTAACAATATGTACCATGATAACACTGTATATGTAACGCTGTGTGTTTGGGTTGCAGCTATTGGTCGTTGAGATAAAGTAGCATGTGGTGCTATTTAAGATTTTGAAAGTGCATATCCTTATATACACTGTGGTCATAGTGTCAGTAAGTACACCTATCCACCAGCTAGTTCCTCTTCAACCTTTCTATCTTACATTCTCTGTGGTTCGCCAAGGTCCATGAGTGCATTTGTATGTCATGCCAGTGTGTGTACAATGTGGCCTTGTGTATGTGTACTGAAGTTACACTATAGAGCTGATGTCTCTACTCGTCTCATCTGGCGGGATGTTGCTAACGCCTCAGGCCGCTGGAGCACCTCCAAAAATACCACAACCCTGCGCCGCCCCACACACAATCACTGGCCTCGGCATGATGCTACAAACCAACAGTAATTTTACAACAGGCGCTCATCCATGCACTCTCACAGGCAGCAAATTCTAGCTTAATGCTCTGTGTCAGAGCCCACGACACGTGTTCTCTTTTCAGGTGTAAAAATGTATTTTAATTGAAAGCTTGGGAGAGACAGAAAGTCCACTGATGCCTTCAGGCACCAAAGGCAGGCAGAGAGCAAGATTCAGTTTGTAGAAATGCAAAAGATTCAGAGTCTTGCAAAATATGACAAGGAGCAAACACTGACATGACTCTGCATGCTTAGGACTACACACACACACACACA